AAGCTAAACAACATGCTTTTAATTAATCAATTGATAAGTAAACAAACTAAAACAGAAATCAAACAACACATGGAGACAAAATAAAACAAAAATTCAACAGTTCAAATTTAGTGGGATGTTGCAAAAGCGGATCTAAAAAGAAAGTATATGGCAATACAGGCCTACCTCAAGGAACAATAACAATCCCAAATAAACAGTATAAATTCACAATTAAAGAAACTAGATAAAGAAGAAGAAATGAAACCCAAGTTAGTAAGAGAGACATAATAAACATCAGAGCAGAAATAAATGAAATAGAGATAGAAAAAAATCAGTGAAACCAAGAGCTGAAACTTTGAAAATATAAACAAAATAGACAAACCCCTAGCTGGATTTATCAAGAAAAAGAGTGAGAACACAAATAAAATCAGAAATGAAGAAGGAATGGTCACAACAGACACCACAGAAATACAAAGAATTATGAGAATACTATGAAAAATTATATGCCAGTAAATTGGACAACCTAGAAGAAATGTACATATTCCTAAAAACATGTAATCTTATGAAGACTGACACAAGAAGAAATAAAAAATCTGAGCAGACCAATTACCAGCAATGAAATCAAACTGGTTACCAAAAAAAACTAGCTAAAAACAAAAGTTCAATTCCTGATGACCTCACAGCTGTAATCAATCAAACATTTAAAGAAGAGCTAAAATCCATCCTACTTAAAGTATTTCAAAAACAGAATAGGAGGAAATGCTTACTAACTCATTCTATGAGGCCAACATCTCTCTAATACTAAAACCAAAGGCACTACAAAAAAAGAAACTTATAGACCAATATCCCTGATGAACATGGATGAAAAATTCATCAACAAAATATTAGCAAACCAGATTAAAAAATACATCAAAAACATCAGCCATCATGACCAAGTGACATTTATTCCAGGGATTCAAAGCTGCTATAATATTCATGAATCAATCAGTATCATACAACATGTAAACTAAAATAAGGATGAAATTTACATGAACATCTTAATAGATGCTGAAATAGCATTTGAAAAAATTCAACATCCATTTCATGATAAAAACTCTTAACAAAATGTTTATAGAGGTTATGCATAATAAAGGCCATATATGACAAATCCATAATGAACATCAAAGTGAAAGTTTTCCTCTAAGATCAGGAACAAGACAAGGATGTATACCGTCACCACTTTTTTCAACGCAGTACTGGAGGTCCTAGCCCTGGCAATTAGACAACACAAAGAGATAAAAGACATCCAAATTTGTAATGACAAAGTTAAACTGTCACTATTTTCATATGACATGACATTATATATAGAAAACCCTAAAGACTTCACCAAAAACTATTAGAACTAATAACTGGATTCATCAAATTTTCAGTATACAAAATTAACACACAGAAAACTGTTGCATCCTTATATATTAACTAGAAAATATCAGAAAATCAGGAAAACAATTCCATTCTCAATTGCATCTAAAAGAATAAAATACCTAGGAATAAACCTAACCAAAGAGGTGAAAGATATGTACTCTGAAAAGTATAAGACACTCATAAGAGAAATTAAATATTACTCAAAAACAGAGAAATATATCCTGTTCACATGGATAGGAACAATTAATATTGCCAAAATGGCCATCTTACCTAAAGCAATTTACAGATTCAATGCAATCCCTATCAAAATTCCCACAGCATTTTTAACTGAACTTGAACAAATACTTCTAAAATTCATCAGAACAACAAAGGGCCATAAATAATCAAAGCAATCCTGAAAAAGAACAAAGTTGGGGGTATTATGCTCCCAAGCTTCAAGCTCTACTACAAAGCCATAGTAATCAAAGCAATTTGGTACTGCCACAAGAACAGACCCATAGATCAATGGAATGGAATAGAAAGCTCAGATATAAACCCACAAATACATGGTCAATTAATATATGATAAAGGAGCAATGAATATACAATGGAGAAAAGACTGCCTCTTCAGTTAATAGTGTTGGGAAAACTAGACAGCTACATGCAAGAGAATGAAGTTGGATTATTGTCTAACTCCATACACAAATGTAAACTCAAATCAAAGACCTGAATGTAAGACATGAAACCACAGAACTCTTAGAAAAAACACAGGGAAAATACCTTAAACATAAATATGAGCAATTTTTTCCTGCACATATATATCTCTGTGCAAGGGAAACAAAATAAAAAATGAACAAATGGGACTATATCAAACTAAATAGCTTCTATACAGCAAAGGACATCATCAACAGAATAAAATGGCAACCTAGCATATTAGAGAATATGTTAATAAACTATTTATCCAATAAGGGTTTGACATCCAAAATATTTACAGAACTCATACACCTCAATACCAAGATAAAATAACCCAAATAAGGAATGGGCAGAGGACCTTAACAGACATTTCTACAAATAAGAAATACAGATGGCCAACAGGCACATGAAAAGATGCTCTACGTCACTAATCATCTGGGAAATGCAAATTAAAACCACAATGAGATATCACCCCACACCTGTTATAATGACCACTATCCAAAAGACAAAAAATAAGTGTTGGGGAGGATGGGGAGCAATGGGAACCCTCTACGCTTTTGGTAGGAATATAAATTGGTACAACTGTTGTAGAATGTAGTATTGAAGTTCTTCATGAAAAATAAAAATAAAAACAAAAAAATGCCATTCAATCCAGTAATTCCACTTCTAAGAATTTAACTGAAGAAAACAAAATACCTGATTCAAAAAGATATATGCACCCCTCTGTTAATCAGTGCATAATTACAGCAGGCAAGAGATGGAATCATCCTAAGTGTTCATTTATAGACAAATGGATAAAGATATGATACATATACACAATGGAATGTTATTCAGCCAAAAAAAAGAAAGAAATCCTGCCATTTGCAACAACATGGATGGAACTATCAAAGCATTACAGTAAGTTAAATAAGGCAGGCAAAGATAAATACCATATGATCTCAGTTATATATGAAATCTAAATACAAAACAAAATGAAAAAAACAGCAGGAGACTCATGGGCACTGAGAAGTGACTGGTGGTTACCACGGAGTGTGGGTTGGGGTGTGTGTGTGAAGGGGATAAAGTGGCAAAAAATCTCAATCATAATATTAGCTGGTCATGGGGATGAAAGTATAGCATATGGAATATAGTCAACAGTTTTGTAACATATTTCTATATTGACAGTAACTACATTAGGTGGGGTGTGAATTTAATAATGTATATAAATGTTTTGTACTTGAAAACAATATAATACTGTGTATCAACTATACTTCAATAAAAATCACCAGCCAATACCCTGTTGCTATATCCAATGGGAAATTAGCTGTTCTTACCTTACTTATCTTTTCTGAAGGAGCTAAAATCTTGACCTTTTCATCTTTGAAACGATCTTAACATCTTTGATACCATCTTCTCCTGGTTTACCTTGTAACTTCTGGCCCACTTTTTCTCAGGCTTAATTTTTAATCAGTACCTTCTTTAAAGAATTGGTCTTCAGGTCTTATCCTAGGATTCCTAATGTCTCATTTAATATACTCTTCCAGGGTGAATGTTTTCATTATTAGCCTTCAATTAAAATTTAAATGTTGATGCCTTTCACATCTATTCCTTAATCTAAACCTTTCTCTGGAGCTCCAGACCTTATGTCCATTAGATAACTCTCATTGTTTTACAGACATATCAAATTAAACAAATTCAAGGGTAAACTCACCATCATCCAATCTCCTCCATCCCAAATCAGCTTCCTTCCATATTCTTTATCTTGGTGAATGACTCCACTGTTAACCTGGTTGTCAAAGCCTAAACTCTGGGTATTGTTTCTGAAATTTCTTCCAAAACTATTGGTGTCATTAAAGTATCCTTCTCTTCTCACTTTCAATATCCCTTTAATCACTTAATATTTTTTATTCCACCTCACTGACCTTTTTAGAACCTATCTATCTCCTTTCCCATATTCCATTTTTCATTTTTCTTACTACTGGAAATTTACACATTGCATTCCCTGCATCTGAAACTTCGTTTTCATTGCTTTTCTTCCATGCTATCCCTTTACCTGTGGGCTCATTTCTCATCTTTTAGATCAATAATTCCTTATTCAGAAACATCAGAATCACATGGGAACTTGTTTGAAATAGCAAATTCTTGAGCTCCATTCCAAGACCTACTGAATCAGAGGCTCTGAGGTTTGATCCCTGCAATCTATAGTTTAACAAGATTTTCAGATGATTATGATGCATGCTAAAATTTGAGAACTACTGACTTAGGTCTCATTTGTGGTGTCACCTACTCTAAGAAACCTTCCTTGACCACACTTTTAAAAACCCTATTTAACACTTAAAACACTGCATTATAGTAAGCAGTTTACTTGTCTGTCATAACAGCCAAAATTAATAAAGTATAGGAACACATATTACTTCCCACTGCATCCATAACTTCTAAAATTGTTCCTGTGCCAAGTAGGCCTCCAGGAAGCATTTATTCAATAAATGAATGGGTAAAAGAGAATGTGGTCAAAATGAGAATCATTCTATATTTAGTATTAGGAGCTTAGTATGTGACTGTAGTTAGGATTTTCTCTGTAGTAAGGTAACAAGAATTTCCTCTATAGTTGTGGTTAAAGATCAGTTTTGGTCTGGTCAGGTCACTCTGTAGCCATGATTAGGTGCTCAGACTACAGCCAAGGTACACCTCAAATCTAGAGAGGGTTAGAAGCTCAATTTGTACTCAGGGTGAAAGCCAGTATAAGCCTCCAGTGTTAAGGATGTCTTTGATGAAACAAGACACCTAAGGTATGTAGCCTGTTCTCAGATTTAGAGAATGAGTATTTCATAGATGAACTCAGTCTATGGCTTAGTCCTGGCTAATATTCCCTTTTTCAATTATCTAGGAGCATTTTTTTAAGAAAGGGAAATATAGAGGACTAAAGCAGAGGTGCTGCACATCTTTTGTCCATTAATTGTTCCCACTCACCAGGCTCAGCAGCCAGTGGCCAGCTAATGCTAGATTCCAGCACTCCATGGGCATGCACAGAGTAGGGCCGGCTGGCATTATTCTTGAACACCACGGTGAGAATATCACCAACCTCTCCTCTGAGAAGTGGACCTAATATGCATGAAAGAAGGAAAAGTCTCATTAATAGTGGAGTAGAACAGGGACATTAAGGCATTAAAGAAAGAAGCATATATAGGAGCTCCCTAGAATTAGGGGTTATCCCTGAGAAAGTATCCTTCTGAGACTGAAAGCCATGACTGGCTCCATTTTTAAATTCAGAAGCTCTTAAACTTATACTTCTACCAACAGGATGAGGACACTGCAGAAACAGGATTCTATCTCTAATTACCCCCAATTTTCTCACTTCAATTTTCTATATATATAATAGCTCAAGTTTCTAGATAATCAAGGCTCTGTGGAATCGTTGTTGGTAAGAAGTGAGAGTTTGGCAAAGAATACAGAATTTCTGGAGTCTTTTTAAGGGCCAGTGTGTCTGTTCTTTGTGAAGATAAGAATGAGGAAATTCATTGGCCCCTACAAAAGCGAATAAACTGCAACAATAATTAAAGTGGGTGCTGTTCCTAACTTACCATGCCTTTAGTATTTTTTTATCATGGCATCATTAATATACAATCACATGAGCAACATTGTGGTTACTAGATTCCCCCCATTATTAAGTCCCCACCACATACCCCATTACAGTGACTATACATAGTAAGATGCTATAGAGTCACCACTTGTCTTCTCTGTGCCTTACTTCCTTACCCATGCCCCCCCTATACTATGTGTGCTAATCATAATGGCCCTTAATCCCTTTATCCATCCCTTCCCACCCACCCTCCCGAATCCCTTTCCCTTTGGTAAATGTTACTCCATTCAAGGGTTCTGTGAGTCTGCTGCTGTTTTGTTCCTTCAGTTTTTGCTTTGTTCTTATACTCCACAAATGAGTGAAATCATTTGGTACTTGTCTTTCTCCATCTGGCTTATTTCACTGAGCATAATACCCTCTAGCTCCATCCATATTGATGCAAATGGTAGGATTTGTTTTCTTCCTAGGGCTGAATAATATTCCATTGTGTATATGTACCACATCTTTATCCATTCATCTACTGATAGACACTAATGTTGCTTCCATTTCCTGGCTATTGTAAATAGTGCTGTGATAAACATAGGGGTGCATATGTCTTTTTAAATCTGGGGTCTTGTTTCCTTAGGGCACATTCCTAGGAGTCAAATGGTATTTATACTTTCAGTTTTTTGAGGAACCTCCATACTGCTTCCCACAATGGTTGAACTAATTTACATTCCCACCAGCAGTGTAGGAAGGTTCCGCTTTCTCCACATACTCACCAGCATTTGTTGTTGTTTGTCTTTTGGATGGTGGCCATCATAACTGGTGTGAAGTGATATTTCATTGTGGTTTTAATTTGCATTTCTTTGATGATTAGTAATGTGGAGCATCTTTTGATGTGTCTGTTGGCCATCTGAATTTCTTCTTTGGAGAAGTATCTGTTCAGATACTATGCCCATTTTTTAGTTGGATTATTTGCTTTTTGTTTGTTGAGGTGCATGAGCTCTTCATATATTTTGGATGTCAACCCCTTGTCATATATGTCATTTATGAATATATTCTCCCATACTGTAGGATGCCTTTTAGTTTTACTATTGGTGTCCTTTACTATATAGAAGCTATTTAGCATGATGTAGTCCCACTTGTTTATTTTTGCTTTTGTTTCCTGTGCCCGTGGAGATATGCTCATGAAAAAGTTGCTCATGTTTATATTCCAGAGAGTTTTGCATATGTTTTCTTCTAAGAGTTTAATGGTTTCATGACTTACACTTATGTTTTTTATCCATTTCGAGTTTACTTTTGTGTATGGAGTTAGAAAGTAATCCAGTTTCCTTCTCTTGCATGTAACTGTCCAGTTTTGCCAACACCAGCTGTTGAAGAGGCTGTCATTTCCCCACTGTATAACTGTCCAGTTTTGCCAACACCAGCTGTTGAAGAGGCTGTCATTTCCCCACTGTATATCCATGGCTCCTTTATTATATAATTACTTGACCATATATGCTTGGTTTAATATCTGGGCTCTCTATTATCTTCCATTGATCTATGGGTCTGTTCTTGTGCCAGTACCAAATTGTTTAGAATACTGTAACATTGTAATATAGCTTGAAGTTGGGAAGAAATAGCTACCCTGCTTTATCTTCCCTCTCAGAATTGCTTTGGCTATTTGGGGTCTTTGTGGTTCCATACGAATTTTAGAACGATTTGTTCCAGTTCATTTAAGAATGCTGTCAGTGTTTTGATAGGGATTGCATTGAATCTGTAGATTGCTTTAGGCAGGATGGCCATTTTGACAATATTAATTCTTTCTACCCAAGAGCATGGGAGGTGTTTCCATTTATTAGTGTCTTCCTTAATTTCTCTCAAGACTGTCTTCTAGTTTTCAGGGTACAGATTTTTCACTTGCTTGGTTAGGTTTATTCCTAGGTATTTTATTCTTTTTGATTCAATTGTGAATGAAATTGTTTTCTGGATTTCTCTTTATGCTAGATCATTCTTAGTGTATAGGAATGCAACAGATTTCTGTGTATTAACTTTGTATCCTGCAACTTTGCTGAATTTATATATTAGTTATAGTAATTTTGGAGTTGATTCTTTAGGTTTTTTTAAATTTTGGTATCATTAATCTGCAATTACAGAAAGAACATTATGTTTACTAGGTTTCACCCTTTAACAAGTCCCCCCCCCACATACCCCTTCACAGTCACTGTCCATCTGCGTAGTAAGATGCTCTAAAATCACTATTTGTCTTCTCTGTGTTGCGCAGCCCTCCCCGTGCCCCGCACACACTATACATGGTAATTGTAATGCCCTCTTTCTTATTCCCCGCACTTACTCCTGGCTTCCAACCCATCGTCCCCAGTCCCATTCCCTTTGGTAACTATAATCCATTCTTAGGTTCTGTGATTCTGCTAATGTTTTGTTCCTTCAGTTCTCCTTTGTTCTTATACTCCACATATGAGTGAAATCATTTGGTACTTCTCCTTCTCTGCTATGCTTATTTCACTGAGCATAACACGCTCTAGCTCCATCCATGTTGTTGCGAATGGTAGGATCTGTTTTTTTCTTATGGCTGTGTAATATTCCATTGTGTATATGTACCACATCTTCTTTATCCATTCATCTACTGATGGACATTTAGGTTGCTTCCATATCTTGGCTATTGTAAACAGTGCAGCGATAAACATAGGGGTACATCTGTCTTTTTCAAACTGGAGTGCTGCATTCTTAGGGTAAATTCCTAGAAGTGGATTTCCTGGGTCAAATGGTATTTCTATTTTGAGAATTCTGAGGAACCTCCATACTTTAAACAATGGTTGAACTAGTTTACATTCCCACCAGCAGTGTAGGAGGGTACCCCTTTCTCCAAATGCTCACCAACATTTGTTGTTGTTTGTCTTTTCAATGATGGTGATGCTTACTGGTGTGAGGTGATATCTCATTGTGGTTTTAATTTGCATTTCTCTGATGATTAGCAATGTGGAGCATATTTTCATGTGCCTGTTGGCCATCTGGATTTCTCCTTTAGAGAACTGTCTTTTCAGTCCTCTGCCCATTTTTTAATTGGATTATTTGCTTTTTTTTGTTGAGGCATGTGAGCTCTTTATATATTTTGGATGTCAATACCTTATCGGATCTGTCATTTATATTTACTGATCAAATGGTTGTTAACAACAATAAAATTCTGTATAGGGGAGTCAATGCTCAATGCACAATCATTAATCCACCCCAAGCCTAATTTTCGTCAGTCTCCAATATTCTGAAGCATAACGAACAAGTTCTTACATGGTGAACGAATTCTTACATAGTGAATAAGATCTTACATGGTGAACAGTACAAGGGCAGTCATCACAGAAACTTTCGGTTTTGATCACACATTATGACCTATAAACAATCAGGTCAAATATGAATATTCGTTTGATTTTTGTACTTGATTTATATGTTGATCCCACATTTCTCCTATTATTATTATTATTTTTATTTTTAATAAAATGCTGAAGTGGTAGGTAGATGCAAGATAAAGGTAGAAAACATAGTTTAGTGCTGTAAGAGGGCAAATGTAGATGATCAGATGATCAGGTGTGTGCCTATGGACTAAGTATTAATCCAGGCTAGACAAGGGCAGCAAGACATCCACGGATGCAGAAGATTTCTCTCAAAGCAGGGGGGGTGAGGTTCTGAGCCTCACCTCTGTTGATCCCCAAATTCTCACCTGATGGCCCCCCTGCGACTGTGCCTGTCTTAGGTTGTTCCTCCCTTGAGGAATCTTACCCGTCTCTGGCTAACCAGTCATCTTCCGGGGCCATACAGGGAAATGTAAAGTTGGTAAGTGAGAGAGAAGCCATATTGTTTGCAAAGGTTAGCTTTTTACTTCTTTGCAGATTTATGCCCTGTGGCTTCTATGCCCAGCACTTGTCTCGAGGTATCTTTACCACCTGGAGGAATTATGATACTCGGTAAATTCGATATGAGGCACGAATTCTATTTAAGGGTTGTAATTAGGAAGGAAGAAGAAAAGCTATAGATGTAGCATATGAAGGAAACTTGGGAGGATTGATTATTTCTTTGACATATCTTCTTGTATAGTACCTTAAGTATGTATAGGTTTTAAACTACTAACTAATTTGCACACACATATTAACATAATAGGAATACGGTGACATAAACAAAGCAAATCTATAATTACCAGCCATCTCCAGTGAAGCCAAGAAAACCATTTAGGCACCCTAGGCATTTGTGAAAATTTATCTATGATATGATGGATATTGTCCAACTGTACTTGAACCATCAGACAAATTAAAGCAGCCCATTTCTGGGATCTGTTCACATCCCATATGTTCTTTTAACCATAGATAGTCTATAGTCATGAGATTTTGGGGTGCTACAACTTGCACCCCTCCCAACTCCTGGTTGAGTTCCAACAGTACAGATCCAGTCAAATTCGTTGTCTCACTGTATGCACATGCCAGCCTAGACATCTCCCTCCTCCTTCTTATGGCAAGTCCAGGAGACGGTGGGCTGGATGCAGCCACAACCGCAGCAT